TTATTTGTAAATATTATAAATTTATTAAATTTAATATTGATAAAAAAAATTAATGTAATATATTTATTATCATAGACATCAGCAACAAGAGGCATACTGTTGAAAATATGGTTTCAGCAACATGGTTTTGCTTGCTGAAAATGGATCGGGAATGTGGGGGAGGAATCCAACCATTTCTTTACCAACGTAGAGCATGTTGGTGAAAGTACACAATTAGCAACAAAGAATATGTTGTTGAAAAGTGCAAACCACTCTCTCCTCTCAACTTTTACCAACATAAGCCACGTTGCTGAAGATAGGGTTTCAACAACGTGGCTTTGCTTGCTGAAAATGGACCAGAAGTGTGGGGAGGAATCCAACCATTTTTTTACCAACGTGGAGCATGTTGGTGAAAGTACACAATCAGCAACAAGAAATATGTTTTTGGAAAGTGTAAAACCACTCAATCCCCTCAACTTTTACCAACATAAGCTACGTTATTGAAGATAGGGTTTTAGCAACGTGGCTTTTCTTGCTGAAAATTTGATAAAATTATAGTGCCGGAGTCCAGGAACATTTTTCCAAATTTTTAGCAACATGAGCCACGTTGCTGAAACTCTAGTTTCAGCAACGTGGCTCATGTTGCTGAAGGGGGTGAGAAATTTCACCCCCACACCTCACTGGATTCCGGTGACTCATTTCAACAACACAAGCTAGGTCGTTGATACTATACTTTCAGCAACGTAGATCATGTTGTTGATATATCAGCAACAAAATTTTGGTTGATAATGTATTACCCACCGAGCCTTCTCTAACAAAGGTTTTAGCAAGCAAAGCCATGTTGCTGAGGGACTTTCAACAACATGGGAACCACTTTCAACAACATGCTTTCATGTTGCTGAAGGTGAGGATTTTAGTAGTGAAGCTCTCCACACAACAACTACCACTTTCGTTTGGGCCCAACTTCCTAATTTATCTACTGATCATTATAACCCTGCTACATTAAGAAAAATTAGGAACAAGGTCGATCCTCTACTTCGTGTGGATGCCTATACAGCTCATCATACAAGAAGCAGATACGCCAAGATTTGTGTCCAAATAGATTTAGCCCAATCTGTAGTTAAGTACGTCAAAATAGGGAAGAAAAAACAAAGAGTTATCTATGAAGGGGTTAGCGCTCTATGCTTCCATTGTGGAAGAATTGGACATCGCAATAATCAATGCCCCAACATTAACCAGGTTCTTGCTCAAACTGTGGAAGTGCCAACCACCCAACAAGAGATAGTAATGGAAGAGCCAGATACGGCTGGTATAGCTACTAAGGAAACAAACAATTCAAATCCAACAGTCTATTGACTTGGAGAAGAAAGAAGAATATGGGCCATGGTTATTGGTGGAAAGACAACAACCGAGAAGGAAGGTAGGTACCTCTTCCGATGTGCTGGAAAAAAAGGAGATAACATAGAAAACAAAAGATGCCTGTGATTATGAAGCTTTGAACCATAAACCCAATCCAAAAGCTCAAGTAGCTAATGGTACTATACACTCCAACCAGGGTAATGGTCAATTAGTCAATGCATTTAATGCTAGATCATCTCAACAAAAAATTACTACGACTTCGAGTTCAAAAAATAATTTAAATGCCGAAATTAAGTTAGATCCAAAACCAACCCAATGGGTTGCCAAGAAACAGAACACACTCCAAGGCCCAACTAAACCAAACCAAAAGCCCATATAGAGCCTAAACCCAATCATGTAGCTAATAAAGGACCATTTGTTTGTACACAGGTCCCAAGTAGTACCAGTTTACCGTCTTGTTGCAACAAGCGGCGATCTACCCCAAGATCTTTTAGAGTCAAATCCTTGGTTGCCTCAGCCACCACCAGATGGATCTCTTCCCATTCTTTCCCTAACACCTAAGAACTCAAGTATTCTTGGTCAAGGATCAAATGTCAGTCCGGATAGATAGAGCTCTAGATTGGATCTTGGACTGTGTCTCACCCAGGGGATCTCAATGGTCAATGAAAAATATATTTTTAGTTTGGCGTGCTCCAATCCTTACAGATATGGGGGTGAATTTACCAGAGATAACCCATCGCATCCCACCACCAGCAGAAGACTTGAATCAGGCAAATCTTTACAAGATAGTGAGCCTCAAGTCAACCGCCAACAAGCTAAGAGAAGTAGAATCATCGAGCCTTATCATACCCCAAATTATCAATAGTTCAACTTACATGCATCATTTGAAGGTGATGACATTCCAAGGGAAGATGTAAAAAATTCATCTATTTTCAAAAGTGCTGTGGTCACTAATGACCCCAACGAAGAGGGACTTCAAGATGCTAGTCCTCCCATATCACTTTCTGCTAGTGAGATTCCTAACGTGGACATCTCCTTACCCCTTGCCGGTGATGAAGCCATTGTTAGCCCAACTGGTCCTAGGACCACAACCCTTTAATATTTGGACTATGAAGATAATTTCTTGGAACTATCATGGTGCAGCTAAATTGGGTTTTCAAAAATGTGTTATGGATCTCAAGTGGCTACACAATCCTTCTATGATATTGATTTTGGAAACAAAAATTTCTGGGGAAGATGCTAAAGATTGAGCTGTTTCCTTAGGTTTTCCTTAATATTGTATCGTAGATTCAGATGGTTTAGCAAGTGGCTTGTGGCTTCTCTGGGATGACTCGATTGTTGCAATGGAAGTGGTTTCTCAGACTCCCCAAGCAATCCATGCAGTTGTCCAGGTACGCAATAATCCCCCTTTCCCTTTTAATTGGTCTTTCTTAGGTATTTATGGTAGACCTCAGTTTAGGATTAGATATAATTTGTGGCAACAATTAATGAGTATGGCAAGTGTTGTTGAGATCCCATGGATTATTTGGGGGACTTTAATGATATTATCGATCAAAGTGAGAAATTTAGGGGTAATGCTATTTCTCAAACTAGAGTTAAAGCTTACATTGATTGCATGAACACCTGCAACATGGTGGATCTGGGTTTTATGGGAAATAAGTTTACTTGGGTGCATTGTAGATTCTCCGGGCAGTTGATTAGGGAGAGATTATATAGAGCATGAACAAATCCTAATTGGAAAATCATGTCGCTTGAGGCTACTATCTTCCATCTCCCTCGTACTCATTCTGATCATTGTCCCATTTTCTTCGACGTTAACCTTGTCTTGCCATGCTCTAGTTCACGACCATTTAGACTGGAGAAATTCTAGGTAGATCACCATGATTTCAAAGACCTCATTCAACGTATCTGGTTAGTTGGAAATGATTCTACTTCGATGTGTCTTGAAAGACTAAACTCTAGGCCAAAGCTTGGAGTGCTATTACATTTGGAAATATATTCAAGGAAAAGAATAGAAATTTGCCTAGACTTGGAGGAATCCAAAACTCTCCTTTGTGTAATGTCTCACCCTTTCTCTAGAATCTTGAAAATGAGCTTCTTCAAGAGTTTGAGAATATTCTCAAATTAGAGTTTGACCTTTGGTTCATGAAATCCCGGACTAATTGGTTAGTGGAAGGAGATAGAAACACCAAATTCTTCCATTGCTCCACTGTCCAACATAGATCTAATAATAGAATTTATAGGTTGAAAGACCAAAGGGGTAACTGGGTTTATGATGGTCATTCTCTTGCAACTATCATAGTGGATTATTTCAATGATCTCATTGCCAGCTCACACATCCAATCTTTTTTAGGTTCATTTGCTAATATCGATTGTGAGACTCCACATTCCTTTGACTTATCTACTATTAGTGGGGTCCCTTCTAAGAAGAAGGGAGATTCATGATGCTACTAATTCTATGCAACCTTACAAAGCCCCCGGGCCTAATGGAATTCATCCTTTTTTTATCAGAAGATGTGGTCCATTGTCAAAGATACCCTCTGTGTTGATATTGAAGAGATCTTTGCTACTGGCATCATTCCTTCTAAGGGGTGTGAGTTCCTTATTGTGCTTATCCCCAAAGTCAAAGCTCCTGAAACCATTCATCAATTCAGACTGATTAGGTTATGCAATACTGTGCTTAAAATCATTTCTAAAATCTTGGTAAACAAGATTAAACCTTGGATGGATAAAATCATCTCTCCTTGCTAAGCTAGCATCATACCTGGGAGACTAGGTATTGATAACGTCCTTATCTTACAAGAATTTGTATATTTTTTCAAGAAGAACGGAAATTTTGGGGATATGATTTGTAAACTAGATTTTGAAAAGGCATATGACAAACTAGAATGGAGCTTTATTCATGAAACTCTGGTGTTCTTCAACTTTCCTCCAGACATCATACGCCTCATTATATCCTCTATCACCTCCTCCTTGCTATCTATCCTTATTAATGGGGAAAGAACAGATAGTTTCTCCCCATCGAGGGGCATCCGACAAGGAGACCCATTATCACCCTATATTTTCATTATGTGTATGGAGCATTTATCTATCAAGATTACTTCAAACATGGTTGCATATGGAAAGGATGTAAGACTGGTAGATGAGGGCCACTATTCTCCCACCTCTTCTTCGCAAATGATATCATTATCATGGGGAAAGCCACAATGGCTAATAGTATCCACTTGAAGAACATTCTTGATTTTTTCTGTTTAAGATTAGGACAGAGTGTTAATCTTAAAAAATCTAGAATCCTCTTCTCAAAGAACGTGGACCAGGCCTCTCGGGAAGCTATTTGCTCCACATTGGGATATACTCCAACAGACGATTTGGGTAAATATCTTGGTATACCTATCTCGGCTCAAAAATTGAATAAGAGCAAATGGCAATTTGTCGTGGATAAAGTTCAGGGTAAACTCGCTAGTTGGAAATCTAAATTCTTATCCTTTGCTAGTCGTACCACTCTTGCAAATTCTGTTTTGGCCTCCATTCCGAACTACTATATGCAATCATCCTTCCTGCCTGCATCTATTCATATGGAGTTGGATCGTACTCATAGAAATTTCATTTGGGCTACCGAACCAGAACAAAGAAGGATCCATCTTGTAAATTGGGACAAAGTCACTAAAGGTAAAAAGAATGGGGGGCTCAGGTTGAAGAGCTCAAAGGAATCCAACATTATTGTTATGTCCAAGTTGAACTGGAGGTTGCATAAAGAAAAAGACAAACGTTGGAGTGAACTTTACAGAAAGAAATATAACATTTCTAATCCTCACATGGCACCTACTCATTCTGGATCTCCCTCTTGGAAAGCAATTGGCAAAGGTTATGAGCTATTCATTAACAATATCAAATGAATACCCAAAACTGGCAGAAACATAGTTTCTGGAATGATTGTTGGGTGGGTTCCTCACCTCTGTCAGCAACTGTATTTGGCCCTCACAATGCTAACTTTGCTAATACTACTGTGGAAGAGTACTTTCAGGCTACGGGAGAGGCCCCTAATTTGATTAACTATGATCTCCCAAGTAATATGCTTGCTATTATTCAAGCTACCCCTATCTCCTTGTCTTCCACAAGAGATGACGGGTTTGCTCGAAAAACTCCCCCAATGGTGAATTCTCTGCAGCTTTGGCCTACCAATCCTTGAAGGACCCCCTTGAGTCGGCTAATAACAACTGGAAATGGGTTTGGAAAGCCCCCACCCTCCCAAAAATCCAATATTTCATATGGCTGCTTACCCATCGGTGACTTAAATGCTTTGATCTTCTTAATAAGCTAGGCATTTGTGCTTCGGCATCCTGTCCTTGGTGTCACACTGAAGATGAGACTGTCGAACATTTGATTAGGATGTGCCCTATATCATCTCAAATCCTAGGAAGTCTCCTACCTGGCATCTCCACTACACAGCAACAACAATTAGAGTTTGTGGAATGGCTACACTTTAATATTCAATGCTCGGAGAAGTCAAACATTCTAAACATCCCTTGGAATGTTGTTTTTTGCTTTGCCATTTGGGGTATTTGGCTTCACAGGAACCAACTCATACATTCAACCCACCCCTATCCTATTTGTTCTGCCTCTAAGCTTATTATTGAAAGAGCAGCAGAATATTATAGTACAGTTCCTTATAGGGGGCAGAACCAACGTCCCACTTGTATGTATAAATGGATCAAGCCTCCCCTGCCCTTTCTCAAATTGAACGCCGATGGCTCGGCTATTGATAATCCTAGGAAGGTTGCAGGAGGTGGTCTAATAAGAGATTCTTGGGGTAACTGGACCCTTGGCTTTTCCAGAAGAATTGGATGGTCATCTATTCTGTTAGCAGAACTGTGGGCAATTAGAGATGGCCTCCAACTTGCTGTCTCTAGAAACTTTTCTCATTTACTCATTGAAACTGATTCCTTTACTGCAGTTAATTTATTATCTAAAGATCCCATTGACAACCATCCACTTAGCTCTCTCGTGTTTGATTGCAGGGACCTCCTTCGTTGTATCCCCCATGTGAAGATCTCTCACGTGATGCGTGAGTCAAACATGGCTGTGGACATTTTGGCTAAAATGGGGCAGGACTTGTCTGAAGATTTTGTTGTTTTTGAATCTATCGCCCAACCTGTTATAAATGCATGTATTGCTGACATTGTTGGGGTTGAATTCCCCAGAACTTGATGATGTATTTCTTGGGTCTTCTTTTATGATACTATCCTTTTCTACCAAAAAAAAAAAAAAAAAAACCAAAACTTCTTAAAAATTTCGATAACTCCTGTATAGAGCAGTGCAGTGGTAGCTCCCACGGAATTCTCACTGGACTTGAGATCCCAATCCCCTAAAACGTAACCCTGTTTAAGAAAACAAAAAAAGACTTCTAAAAAAATCAAATCCTGAAATTAATTTACTAATAAAAACACTTTCATCATCATCCTTCATTCGATTCAATTATCATCAAAGATTTAAAGCTAGTGCAACCCAGGAAAATTGTTTCCGTGAACCTAGGAACCCAAGTCCCTTGAGCCCGAATCTGGGTTTGTGGAAACCAGGAAGCAGGGTTCAAGTGAACCCAAGAACCTACGTTCCTTAAATTCGGATCTGGATTCGTGGAACCCAGGAAGCTAGGTTCAAATGAACTTTCAACCCAGATCTAGAAGGTAAGAGGAGAGGAAAGGGGAAGAGAGGAAGAGAGCGAGAGGAAGAGAGCGAGAGAGCGAGAAAGAGGAAGAAGAAAAAGATGCGCAGGAGAGATTCGGAGGGGGAGGAATAGTTGATTACCGGAGCTGATGGAAGATGAATAAGGAAAGAATGAAGGGGATACGGAAGAAGATAGAAGCTAACTGGGGTATAAATGTAATTGGATTTATCTCACATGTGCGTTTAGAATATATTTTTTTAAAAATATAAAAATATATATTAATTTTAAAGTAAATATAATGTGAATAAATTTAATTAAATAATTAATAATTTAAATATTATTTTTTATTTTTTAAAGGTTCTTCATATATATATATATTTTTTGAAGGGGTTTATGGTTGGAAGTGAAGCATTTGAATCATAATTTTTGAATTAAAAAATATATTTTATAATTTAATTTATAATAGTTAGATAATAAAATTAGGTGTAAGATTCTTAATATATATTTTTAATGTACAAATTAAAAAAAATTTAATATAATTTAAAAACATTTTATTTATTAATAGACAATTAAAATTGATAATTTATTACTACTTTTAAATATACGCCTTTAAATATACGAGGAAAATGGGGACATAATGATATATTTATAATAATTTTTTCTTTAAATTTTCATATTAATATGTGGATGATGTGGAATTTCACTTGGTTTTTTTTTAATAAAGTTAATTTTATGATGTCATTTACACGTCATCCAAAAAATACTGAGTTAGGATCCGTTTGGTATAACATTTTTGGGATAACAGTTAACGGTTTTACTTAAATCGCTAAATATAAGTATTTGATAAATTTATATATTTTGAAACTATTATAAATAAAGTGTTTTGTAAAATTTTTATTTTGCGGTTTGAGACTAGTGGATAACGATTAGGGTT